TGATAGCGTATGAAAAAAAATTCAACATCAATCAGAATTAAAGAAAACTCAGAAATGAGGTGATAGAACTAAGGACAAAATAGAAAAAAATTTTAAGTCATTTCAAAATGTAACATGAATCGCATCACAAGATATCCAAATGGCCAATAATAATGTGAAAAAATGCTCAGTGTCACTAGTCATCAGAAAGTCAAATTTAAGCCATAGCAAAATATCACTTTGCCTCCATTAAAAGGGCTAAAATTAAAAAGACTGGTAATACCAAGTACTAGCAAAGATGTGACAACAAACTCTTATATACTAGTGATGGGAATGTAAAATGGTATAGCTCTTTTAGAAAACTGCTTAGCATTTTCTGATACATATAAAAATGCATCTGCCCTATGATCTAACAATTTGGCTCCAAGGTATATTTTCCAAGAGAAATGAATGCATATGTTCTTACAAAGATTTATACAAGAATGTTCATCACAGTTATAATTTATAGGGCAGCCCGGGTAGCTCAGCAGGTTAGTGCCACCTTCAGCCCAGGGCGTGATCCTGGAGACCCGGGATGGAGTCCCATGTCAGGCTCCCTGCATGGAGCCTGCTTCTCTCTCTGCCTGTGTCTCTACCTTTCTCTGTGTGTGTGTGTCTCTCATAAATAAATAAATAAAACTTAAAAAAAAAAACAGTTATAATTTATAATAGCTGAAATCTGGAAACACCACAAATGTCCATCCACAGAAAAAATAATAAATTGTGGTGTATATACATGAACTGCTATAAGATTTTAAGAGGCTGGATATTATATTGGATATTTTTTATTAATCTCAAAAAACATTACTTTGAGTAGAAGAAGTCAGGCACAAGAGTATATGTAATTACGTTTCTTCTGATTTGAATTCTGCTGATTTGAAATCTGCTGTTTTGAAATTCAAGAACAGGCAAAACCAATCTCTGGCAACAGAAGTCAGAATAATTGTTATCTCTTTTAGGAAGTAAGGATTTTTACTGGAAAGAAGCATGAAGAAACTTTCTGGAGTTTTCTATATCTTGTTCTATAGGTTATACAGATATATATCTGTGTGTGTGTGTGTGTGTGTGTGTGTGTGTGTGTGTGTGTGTATCTGTATATATGTCAGGGGACTGCAAGATCACTTCCAAGTTCAATGGTTTCCAGGAGGACACAAAGGACTCAGCATAGAGTCACAATTACAGCTATAATTTATTACCAAAAAAATGCACAATAAAATTAGCAAAGAGAAAAAGCACATGGGGCAAAGTTCAGAGTAAACCAGAAGCAAGATTCTAAGAGTCCCAATGAAGTCACACAGGATGTTGTTAATTCCTACAGAAAGAAATGTGGTACGTGTGAAGTGCTATCTCCCAGGGAAGCCCATTAAAGACTCCGTGCCAGGATTTTTATTGGGAGCTAGGCACACAGGTAGCTTTTGCCTAGCATGTACCAAATTACAAACTCTCAGAAGAAAAGCAAGTCTTCAGCATAAACCACATTGTTCCCATAAACACACAATGAGCCATTTGCTTTTGTTTAATTTTTTTAAGTTTATTTTTATTTTTTTAGCAATCCCTACACCGAACGTGAGGCTCAAACCCTGAGATCAAAAATCGCATGCTCTTCCAAAAACCAGCCAGGTGGACCTACAGTGAGTCATTCTTATCAGGAAACAATGCAAACCCTCTCCAAATTCAAATTCCTAGCAACCTTGAAAGCAGGCCTCTAACGATAGCAGTCAAGTCTTCTGGGCTCTTTCTCTGCAATATGTCAGAAAAACAAACAAAAAGCAAAAAACAAAACACCTCACTGAACTGTACATTTAAGATTTTGGTGTTTTATCATGTAGATTATATATCAATTTTTAAACTTTAAACATATAAATAATATGAATGACAGATCCACAGATCCTCTTCTATGAGCAGTTTGTCAATAGTGAAATAAGAAAATCATAATGATTTTGGAGGCCTACAAACAAGGCAAAGTAAAAAGCAAGTCCCTCAACTTGCTAAGGCTCAACTCTCTCAGGGCCATGATGGGTCCTGTTCTTAAGCAGTGTAATGTAATGGAAAGAACATGGACTTTGGCATCAAACTGGTCTTAGAATCTAGCTCTCATTTGCTAGCTCGGTGATAACAGTCAAGATAATTCACTTCTCTGAGCTCCAGTTCCTCAGCAAGCTGAGGGTGATAATTTGCCACTGAAATGTTATAAGGATTAAATGAAATAACACATGCAGTTGGTACTCAAAAAAAAAATGTCAAGTCCCTCTACAGTAGATAAAACTCTAGAAGATAAGACATCTATATGAAAAGTTGTAAGGCAAGAGAGTACTTAGTAAGTGCCATGAAGGTTGTTCAAAGTTCTGACTGCTATAGAAGACCAAGCAGAAAGGTTCTCAGTGGCCTGAAACAGGCCCAAGAGGTGGCATTTGAGCTGGTGATGGAATGTGTGGTAAAATTTTGAGATTCAGAGATGAAGAGTAGGACATTTTAGGACCACAGAAAGGTACCTGCAAATCACAAACTGGATTTGTCTTGGGCTTTTGTCAGTCCAAACTTTGCTGAGAGAACTAGCATTTCTTTACCTACATGACTTGTGACTGAGCCATTTTTTTTTTGCATAATATCAAATACTTTATTTTCCCTCATTTTGTTCAGCCCACATCTTAATCATATCTATATATGCATCTCCATTCCTATAATTACCCAAAGCTAAAAACATAAGTCATCTTTGACTCCTGTTCTAGAAAATGTATCCAAATATGATTATTAGCCATCACCTACTCAGCTACCACTCTGGTCCAAGCCAATCCTTCCTTGACCATGACAACAATCTCCTAACTGGCCTCTCAAACTTTTTTTTATTATTTTTTTAGAGTCTTATGGGGTTTATTTTTTTGTATATATTTTTTATTGGAGTTCGATATGCCAACATAAAGCATAACACCCAGTGCTCATCCCGTCAAGTGCCCCCCTCAGTGCCCATCACCTAGTCACCCCATTCCCCCACCCACCTCCCTTTCCATCACCCCTTGTTCGTTTCCCAGAGTTAGGAGTCTCTCATGTTCTGTGTGACCGAGTCATTATAGGGATTGAATATACTGCCATGCTGAATGGGGTGATACAGTGGGTTCTTCTACTCTGGATCTAAGGCCAATGACATTTTTGCCTCTTGACATCTAGCAATACAGAGCACGAGTATGACCTCAACCAGGAACACTATTGACATAGGCAAAATGGTGACTTCTATAGAAACATCAAATGCATGCACAATCTTCCATTCATTACAGTCCCCTCAGACTCCACTGTTGTTGTTGTTGTTTTTCATTTATTCAGTAGGGATTTATTGAGTGGGCAGTCTGTGCTAGACTTTGTGCTATATCCTAAGGATGAAATGTATGGGTTCCAGCCCCAGGGAGTTCACAGACTAGTCAGAAAGGCTACATGTAAATGCACGGATTACACTAGAAAACAGTAGGGACCTTAGGGTAGAGATGAATGAAAGATCTCAGGATCACACAGGCTAGAGCCGGGCCCTCTTTTGATACATTTGGTTTCTACTTCAAAGATACTCTCACTGCTGACAGTTAAACTGAGGGATGGATTTGATAAACTAGCTACTTTCCCAAACTGGTCAAAGGAAAAAACACTGGGCTCTAGGTAAGGTCAGAGTGCCCTCTGCTGAAATAGGAAGCTGGAATCAGAAGACGAACTATTCTAGTCTTGTTTATACCAAAACACTCTCTATACCATTTTATTTATAGAAATGAATAAATATCCTCTTTCCCTAACAACAATCCATCTTGAGTCTCACTGGATTCTTATAAACATAAGAATTGGGTCAGGAGGCAATGAAGGAAGACCAAGGAACATCAGACTCCTGTGAACATCACATGGCAAAACAGGCTTAGGCTAACCAGCATGTAAAAGCTTTCCAGCTTGCTTGGTGGGCTATCAAAATTCAAGGTGTGTTAGCCTAAGGCCTTTTCATAGAATGACTTCAACACTGGAGCCTCAACTCCTGCAAGGTACCAGGTGTCTTCATTCTCCCACTCTCACATTTTATGTGGATGAGAAAAAATTCAGCCATGAAAGACATGGAGTAAACTTAACCTCATGTGACGACACGAAAAAAGCCAACATGAAATGTGTACATACCCTAATGATTCCAACAGTATGATGTTCTGAAGAAAGTAAAACCACAGAGACAGAAAAAGATCAGTGGTTCCCAGGGATTAGAAGGGTGGAATGAATAAGGCCAGAAGCTACCCTGGTGGATACATGGCATTAGACATTTGTCCAAACCCATAGAAAGTACACCCCCAGAAGAGAACTGTAAGGTAAACTGTGGACTTCGGGTGATATCATGTGTCGACACGGGTTTATTGATTGTAACAGGTGTACCACTCTGGTGGGGGATAATGATAGTGGAGGAGGCTGCCCCGGGGAGGGGGAGGGATGATGCATATTTCATAATTTATGCTCAGTTGTGTTGCGAACCTAAAAAATAAGTCTATTAAAAACCAGAAAAGATTAATACCAGCTAAATTCTTTTTCTTTTTTTTAATAAAAATAGACCAGCTAAATTCATAAGGGCAGACCTCAGGATGTAAAATATGTTCATAAAAAGCTAATTTGGGGGCACCTAGGTGGCTCAGTCAGTCAAGTTTCTGCCATCAGCTCAGGTCATGATCCTGGAGTCGCAGGATCGAGTCCCATATGAGGTTCCCCGCTCAGCGAAGAGTCTGCTTCTCCCTCTGCCCCTCACCCCTCTCATGCTCTCTCTCTCTCTCTCACTCACTCTCTGTCTCTCAAATAAATAAAACCTTTATTTAAAAAAAGCTAATTTGTTTTACCAGCATAAGGGGCTGCAGATAGAGAGGATGAATGTGTGATGGAATGCATGGTGGTGTGAGATTCCAAAAACACCATATTATTTCTATCCTGTTGCCCAACCCCCGTACCAAGCAACAAATCCCAAAGACAATAACTGTCATTACCTGTGGCTTACCCTGTGACTGGTTTAGCAAAGACTGACACATTTCACTCCACAGTAGCAAAGACAGCGATCGTAATTTCCTCTTATCTGGAACATGCATCCCAGACTGTAGAACTCAAACTGACATTCAGAATGCATTGTGACACCAAAGGGGAAAGTGGCTTGCGTAAGGACCCTCCCCCAGCAGCCTGGGACTGTCCAGCTCTGATGATTGACGGTGTGCTGAGGACACCGCGCTCTTATGCAATGGAAAAGGCAGTGGCAACTCCGTGGCTTGTAAACGGGGAGGCTCTGCAGTAAGGACACTTTAGCAAATGGGTTACCTTAAGGGAGCAATCGGGGCTGCTAAAAGTCGGTGTCTTTCCTTGGGGCTGGATCATGTGTGATCTGAAGTCCTTTCCCACTCCGAATTAACATCCCAAAATGGATCCCATATTTTGAAACAGTGTGATTAATGAATTTTCAAACATGTCCCAGAAGAAACACTGTAGTCATTTACTTAACTGGCATTTAGAGTAAAATAACAAATGGTTTTAGACATTTTCCTTGCCTCTTTAATTATGGAGGCTAAATATTTCGGCACTCCTGATAATTAGCATGCTAGCCTGCATGAAAAGGTAAGGGGGAGGTCTCTTTAAACAGGTGCTGAATGCCTTATGTGCAATAAACATCCCCAGCCACCATGGATTTCTACATCTGGTAGCGATTTTGTAGCTGTAGAACATCTGGAATTTAATTTGCTACATGTAGTAGAAACCCTTTTCATTTAAAAAAAAAAAACACCTTCTTTATTCAAAGTAATTTGCAGTCTCTTATAATCCACTCACACACACCCCCATGTACCCCCTTTGAAAAAAATCTCCACAATGCCTATTGTGAAGACCCTTGGAATTTTTTGGCCTTGCAAAATAGTAACCTAATGCAATTCAGGCGAGGTTACTCCAATTCCTTTTTCCTCATTTCAATGCACTGATGAGCTCTGGCTTTATAATTAAAGTGGCCTCTTAGGTTATTCCAGCCTAATTATTATTCAGTGCTGTCATCTACCTATCCCATGGCCTGTGGATTCAACAATATGTATGAAGGTGTGATAAGAGGTGGTGGAGTGGGGGTAAGGGGTGCAGCAGGGAGTTCATTTGTGTTTATTACATACAATGTTCTTTTCCTGTGGAAAGGGGCTTTTGTGACTGTTCTTTTCCTAGTCCTGTGGACTGCCTGCCCCAGTGCAAACGGCTGCTATCAATAAACACCCTTACTTTCATTTGTGAGACCCAACCACCATTTCCTGGAGATAAAGGTGGCTTAGATTTCAGCACAATGTAAAACATATTCCATGACATTTCTTGAATGGAGTTGGGATATTTAAAGAAAACCTAACAGACAGACCTCTTAGGTAAGACGGTTCTTGCCCTTTTATGTTTTGCCATCTTCAGATATGGTGTAAATCCAGCTCCAGAAAGCAAGAAGGAACCAGTAGATAACATTAGCCCCCTTTGTCAATCTCAGTGGGACCAGATTGCCCCACAGGACAAAAGGCTAGAAGCTGACATGTAGGTTCTGAATGTGTCTTTCTCAATTCTTTTGTAAACTTGGCCTATGGGCAGTGTCATGCACATTATAAGCCAGTAAGTACTTCTCAGAATGATTTCCTCCTCCTTTGGAACAGATCCCTAAAGGAAAGGAAACGTTGACTCTGACTTTTCCCTCAATTACTCATACTCAGCTTTTCCTAAGATCACTAACATCTTAGGAAAGCAAACTGTCCATCTCATTAAGAGCAAACTGTCCTCAAACAGTTATAGCCATTACATAAATTTCATGTTCCCTTATTTCATTTATTTCTCCTTACAGCAAATCTTCCCTTTGGGTCAAATCCATCATATTCAATCTGCTAAAGCACTTCATTATTTTTCTAATAATTGAAATGCGAATTGATTGCCTGCAAAAAAAAAAAAAAAAAAAAAAAACACATCCCTGTAGGTGGGATCTTTTGACACGGGAAGGTTACATATGGGAAATACACAATATGGCAACAGTTGAGGTTGGTTCCCCTACGTCGGGACCGGTTGACCTTCCAGTAGTCTTAAGCTTTAAGACGAAATGAAACCCAAAGCTGGGGGAGTAAAGGAGGACTTGCGGTCCGTTTTGTATTGTATATTAGATTGGGAACATGTGTTTTTTAAGGAAAGGAAGCCTGACACAGTGAAACCTTTTGACACAACAAAGGAAGGAAATTGATCTAAGTGTCTGTCTGTAATGTGCCATTTGCTGTGATCAGTCTCTCATTCAAGCCTGATCTCTGGCGTCCCTGTTTGTATTGGAGCCATTTCCTGCATGATAGTACATTCCTGTTTGACACACCATGCCTGGGAAAAGGCAGTATCACCTACCCCCACCCGGGCAGACACAAGCTGTGAGACGTCATCAGGACTCTTCCGTTTCCGTTGCTGGGCGTTGGTTATTCTGTGGGGCTTGCATCTTTCTCTATTGACTTCCTGCTCAGTTAAGGGAAAATTATAGAAGTGTCCAAAGACCTGGTTTCAAGATGAATTGGCAAAGCTTAGAAAAGGAAGACAAGGAGGAGGGGAAGATATATTTCAAGGTCAAAGATTTTATGATCAGAATTTTTGAAGCCTCTAGACTTTATCTGTTCTCTGCTGCTCAAAGTGTGATCCCTGGACCAGCAGCATCGAATTACATGGTTCCCTATTACCAATGCGACATCAGATCCTATCTATGACCTACTAGAATCTGTATTTTCACATTATACTCAAGGAATTTGTGTGCACCCTTAAGTCTGAGATACAAGGATCTCAACCCATTTATTTACAGCTAAAGAAACAGAGTCTCAAGTAAGTAGATTGTACCAAACCATAAAGTTATTCAACAGAGCAGCTAGGACAAGGACCTTAAGATGACTGCTTCAGCTAGTCAGTCTACTTTTTGCCGTGCATGAAAGGAAGACATACAGCTCAAATGCCCCCTTCAAACTCCTCACCACCCTTCAACTCATAGGCCAAACCAATGTCCCCTTATTCATCAGAGTCTCTTCACTTCTGTCTTCACCATCTTGGAATCCGTAACAGTGCTCCTCCTCCTGCAAACTCCTTCCCTAGGACCCTTTCTCAAAGCACCTACTTTGATTGAACTCAACCACCTACTTTCTCCATACCTGTAGCCAAACAGCCCAGTAAAGCTGGACAAAAATCACCCCACTGAACAGATGGCCATCACTTCACATTTAAAACCACCAACCTCAGCCGAACCCTCAGCAGGGCTGATTCATCTTGCTGTTTATTTCTGTAGTTGCTTTTCTACTGTTTTTATATACCTTTTCCAATGTCCTTACACTTTCCATCATGCATTCTCAAGTAATGACTTGTCTCCAACTTCACAGAGGTAATGAAAGGAATTAGCTATCAAACCCCTCAACTTCCCACCACTGATTTTTTTTAAAGATTTTATTTATTTTTTCATGAGAGACAGGGAGAGAGGCAGAGACATAGGCAGAGGGAGAAGCAGGCTCCTCACAGGGAGCCTGATGCGGAACCCGATCCCCAGATCTGGGATCATGCCCTGAGCCAAAGGCAGATAGATGTTCAGCCACCAAGCCACCCAGGCGTTCCCCCACCACTGATTCTAAAGCAACATAACCTCCTGCATCTGCCCACACCCATCTTCTCTTTTTCCCCTTTTTACAGTAGATAAATCACCCATCTCCTCAACAGAAACTTGATCAGAATAGATGCTGTGAGACTCATTCACTGTCCTCTTCTCTGGAAGGGAATCCCACTCCATAGATCACCTCTCTTCCCTAAATATGCCACGCGTATACATTCTTGCTTCTGAGTCCATTTCATCTGCATTCTGGTTTATTCTAGTACCTCACTTCTCAAACAAGAAGCAAGCTAGCAAAATCTTAGAGAAAACCTCTCTAGTTTGAGTTCTATTTCAATGCTCTCCTTCACAGGTAGTTTGTAAGCTTCTAGCTTGTAATATTCTCCACACATGTAGTCTGTGCTTTTTCATCTTTCATTCACTATTTTTCAGAATGATTTCATTGATATGTGATCTTTTTTTTAAGTAATAGGGAAAAAATAAAGAAAACGGCAAAAAAAAAAAATACTGGAACTCTCACAACCCCAAAATAATCGTTTTTTTCTTTTCGTAACATTTTTTTTCATCCAAAAAGAAGATGGATAGGTAGAGGAGAAAATGTAAAGTGAAACTGTACTCTATATACCATCTTTTTAAAGTAAAATTTAATTGTTCTTGAATTTAACAGAAGAAATGTTCAGAAAATGAAATTAGGACTAACTCATTACCTGGAACAATAAGGAAATTCACCTTTTGTAATTCACATTTTTAGTTTTATAAGTTATATTTTATTTAACTTTGTCAAGATTTTTAATACTTAAAATCTGTTTTGTAATGATAATCCTCTGAGTATTCAGTCCTGGTATTCTACTTAAATGTATTCAAACCTGAACACTAATCATTTTTTTACCATAAGTTTTCCAATCCTGAGTATATTCAATCATATGTTTGGAGTATCTGGACACTGGGGAGATGAGTCCAAAAATGGGTCAGATCCCTGCACTCACAGAACTTACATTCTAAAGGAGGAGAAAGAAAATAAACAAGGCAAAACAAAACAAGATATTTCTCAGACAGTGTGTGGTAAGTGCTACATGTATATAAGGATACATGGTGAATGAGTAGGGGGAAAAGCTATTTTAGCAAAAAAAAAAAAAAGATGTCTCTTTAGATGTGACATGTAAGCTGAGTCATGAATAATTGAAAAGTCTCCATCACTAAAAGGCCTTAGTGGAGAAACATTCTATGTGGAAAGAATAGGAAATGCCCAAGTTAAAAATAAGTGTGGCTTGTTTAAGTACCAGAAATCAGGCCAAGGTAGTGGGAAAGTAGCAGAGGAGACTATGTGGACAGAGAGATAGTCAGGAGTCATTTTACACAGATATTTCAGATAATGATGTTCAAAATGAAATGTAAAACCTATAGGTGTAAGTAAGAGGGGGAAAGAGGGATGTAAACTGATATACATTTTTAGAAGATCAATTTGACCACCTGCCATGTAA